ATAAATATATATATATATATATATATAATATATATATATATATATAATATATATATATATATATATATATATGTCGTGCCGAATAGGCAGAACTTGCGATCTTGGCTTAAATAGCAACGCTCATCTTGCCATATAGGACAAGTGAAAATTTGTGTATGCAATAATTTCGCCAAAATCATTCTGAACCTAACGAAAAATATATATTTCACTGTGTTTGTTTAGTATTGATAAATTAGACACATGTGCAACTCTTGGGTATCTTTATTGAGGAAACGTTTCGCCACACAGTGGCTTCATCAGTCCATACAAAGGAGAATCTTGAAGAACAGGAGGAGAATGAGGTAATCAGTCCCTCAACCTTGAGTCGATGTGGTCAGTCCATCAATCTTGAATAGAATACGGCATACGTGCTGAGAAGGAGCTTATAAACCGTTGGCAGGAGAGGTGCAGCAGTCATAGGTGGTGTCACATTTGTTCAATGTGGAAGTAGGTCGTGCCCAAGAATTAGGCAAGCGAAGAATTCCCAAGTATTAAGATCCCAAGAAGTTGCAGTGTCTGACAAGTTTGTAGATGAATGGTTCAGAGAACCGACATGTTGATAAATTAGACACATGTGCAACTCTTGGGTATCTTTATTGAGGAAACGTTTCGCCACACAGTGGCTTCATCAGTCCATACAAAGGAGAATCTTGAATTCTTGGGCACGACCTACTTCAACATTGAACAAATGTTACACCACCTATGACTTCTGCACCTCTCCTGCCAACGGTTTATAAGCTCCTTCTCAGCACGTATGCCGTATTCTATTCAAGATTGATGGACTGACCACATCGACTCAAGGTTGAGGGACTGATTACCTCATTCTCCTTCTGTTCTTCAAGATTCTCCTTTGTATGGACTGATGAAGCCACTGTGTGGCGAAACGTTTCCTCAATAAAGATACCCAAGAGTTGCACATGTGTCTAATTTATCAACATGTCGGTTCTCTGAACCATTCATCTACAAACTTGTTTAGTATTAAATTACTGTAAACAAATCTAAAATATATTTAGTTGGGTTAGGCTAAAATAATTGCGCTTGTTATAATAAGGTTAGGTAAGTTTTCTAAGTTCCTTTTGGAATATTTCACTGCGTTTGTTTAGTATTAAATTACTGTAAACAAATCTAAAATATATTTAGTTGGGTTAGGCTAAAATAAATTGCGCTTGTTATAATAAGGTTAGGTAAGTTTTCTAAGTTCCTTTTTTAGCAAAATTATAATTTTTACATCAACATTAATGAAAAAAATATATCTTTAAACGTATAAGAGAAAATTTTAGAAAGGACTTAATTTTAAATGAGATCTTGCTAATTGACCAGTTTTACATATTCGGCACCACACACACACACACATATATATATATATATATATATATATATATATATATATATATATATATATATATATTATATATATATATATATATATATAAATATATATATATATATATATATGTATATATGTATAGGGAGGTACCACCTCTATAGCTGGACTGGGGACCCTCATCCTCAGAGAAGACAATAAACGCACCTCAGGGAAAACTCAAGGTTCTCCCCGGAGATGTTTGAATATTTTCTTCTCCTACCACCCCCTATATTTTATATTCTTTGTGAACATTTATTAATAAACAGAATATATTTACAGAAAACATAAACATGAATACAATGGTACAATGTATTAAAGATCATAAATAACAAAAAGGCACAATACCGTGACTGGAACGATACACAAATAACCCGCACATAAAAGAGAGAAGCTTACGACGACGTTTCGGTCCGACTTGGACCATTGACAAAGTCACACTAACAGAGGTGGAGCAGGACGGCTATATATAGGCAGGAAGAGGTGGAGGAGGTAGTAGTAGTAGTAGTAGTAGTAGTAGTAGTAGTAGTACAAGAATTGTATATAATACCGACAGGATGAAATGACACATCCACAACACCCGGGCATCCCCACCGTAGACGTTTCGCCATCCAGCCAGCCACTGGCTGGCGAAACGTCCACAACAAAGACAACCAGACGCCGCACATGTGTCTTAATTTCATCAGTAGTTGTAGTAGAAGAAGAAGAGGTAGTAGTAGTGGTAGTGGTAGAAGTGGGAAATAAGGAAGACGAGCCAGTCAAATACAAAGGAAGGGGAGCACTGCAAGAGAGCTAGCTCTCTTGCAGTATATATTTATATATACATATATATATATACACACACACGCACATACACACACACGTTACTGTATGGGTCATTCGGAGCACGGAATGGAATGGAATGGTTGTGGGAAGTTTTTCTAAGGGATGTTTTAAGGTTGTGTCGTGTGTGGAGAGGTTGTGATGGATGTGGGGAGGTTGTCAATTGTGTGGGGAGGTTGTCAGTGGAGTGGGGAGGTTGTCAGTGGAGTGGGGAGGTTGTCTGAAGTATGGGGAAGGTCTTCAGATGTGTTTTTTGAGGGACTGGTAGTCTGAGTCTGGTTTACAATCTCAAGTGAGACAGAAGTGTATGACTCTCATTCGAATGTGCCTTGAGTGAGAAATATCAAGAAACAATAAGACTTGTCATCTCTCTCAGGGGGTAATTCACCTGGCCTTGAAGAGTGGCTCCAGGTACCTCCAGTGAGTTGACTTGCAAAGACTACGCATGCCTACAGATAATTTAGCGAGTACTACGCATGCCTACAGATAATTTAGCGAGTACTAATAGTAGAATCCGTCTCAAGATGAGCAAACGGAGGGTCGAGCCTACTTCACTCCTTGCGCAGAATGGCAAGTGATCTTCACATACATGTTGCACTCACGGATTGCAAATCACTCTTACATCTTCCTCTAAATACTCTTCAGAACTTTGTAAGGTAAACAGAATATTACTCCATCCTCCCTCTGGACCATTCGGACAATTAGCCAATCAGTGAGGAGAGGAATCGACATAATATAGCCAATCAGTTATGAGGGGCCATCAGCACAATTAGCCTATCAGGAAAGAGGGGAGGGGGGACGCATCGGACCGTGACACTCTGGGGAAGGGTATTTAAATCATCAGAAGATTTAATTGGACTATGTTTGATGTATGCTGATTGCACTGCATTGACAAATGCAATATTTATAAGGTAAACATAATATTGCATACTCTGTTTTACGGTTACGACTTTATTGCATATTATATATGTATATATATATGTATATAATAAATATATATATATGTATATATATAATATAGGGAGGTACCACTGTTATAGGGACCCTCATCCTCAGAGAAAAGAATAAACTTGCTTCAGGGAAAACTCAAGGTTCTCCCTGAAACTGTTTGAGAATTTTCTCCTACCACCCCCTATATTTTATATATATATTTTATTTAAAGACAAAATACATTGACAAAACATTCACAAAAATACGATAGAAAGTAAAACAACATAGGTAACTCAGAGCTACATCTCGAATACTTCGTCCAGCCCCCCGGCGGTGGGCCCGCGTGCCCAGAATGCTGCAGGCATTTCCTCTCTGGATCGCAACACTGAGTCTCTGAAAGAGGAAGCTGATCGCCCTGTGGTCCTTTGTTTCTATGATGAGCTTTTCCCCCAGCTCTATTAGGAACTTTAGAGCACACTTGCCCATGCTCCAAGGGTCTCCGACCCTTTTGGGGAAATGAAGTTATAGCAAGGGGGAAGGTCTTCATATTTGCGGATCTTCTGAGTCTCCCTGTGGTGGCAGCTCCACCCCCTTCCACTACGGAGTATGACAGTAGGTGTCTGCCAATGTGGCGGCACATGTGTAGGGCCCAGGCAATCTGCTTTCCATCCTTCCCAAAGGGAGCATAGTGGCTCCATCAGGACGCTTTAGACTTCCGTCAGACCTCTGCACTTGGGGTTCCCGTTGAGCTGGGCAAAAGGGCTGTGGCGAGGCATCTCTTTTTGTTGTCATTGACCTCCTCATGCCTGGCATACTTCCCTTCTGCTGTGTGACACACGAAACAATGAAGTCCGAATTGATCAGCTGTCGCCCTATAATATATATTATATATATTTTATATATATATATATATATATATATATCAAAGTGCAGCCAGCCGGGATTAGATCCTGCGACACATTCTTCCGCCTCAAGAGAGAGAACAACGTTCACGTCGCCTTAACCACTTAACCAGCGATCCTATTCTCGAACAGAGGGTCGCATTTTAGTCCGTGTAAATTTTAATATGCCAGTTTTATTAAACAAACTGGTTTACGAGCAATAACGGGAGACTACGGATCAGATTTATACATGAAATAATCGTGTATTCCATAGAAAGGATTGAACTGATTTTGAGTTATGTGCCAGTTGGCTAATCTGATTGAAAATGGAAAAAAAAATTGTTTTTTCAGGCTATTGTTTACGCATGCCTTATCGAATTTGTTTCGAGCCATTAACGCTGATAACATTATAATGTAAATGCTGTCGGGCTTTAAATTTAAAGCGCTGGCGTATTTTGGGATAATAGCCTCTGATCCATAACTTGAGAATACCTCTTCTGATCGGGTTTAAACTTTCAGAGCTGTGTAGGTGAACAATTGCCTTTTTTTGTTTAGGTTAGTGGGATAATTTCGGTGCGATAATTTGTTAATGCCTCTTCCGACTGATTTCAAACCTTCAACGGTGATATTTAACTTCATTAGAAAATTATGTCGCATGCCGTACTTTTTACTTTTGCTTTAATTAAGGTAGAGGGGGTTGGGCTTATGAGGTACGGGGATACCGATCTCGGGATCGCGCAGCTACGAAAATAAATCTAATTTCTTAAGAGGAGTGACGATGTTTCTTGTCATAATATAATGATAAACTCATTGACTAAGCTAATTTTCCATCAATTTTATTCCAATTTTAAATCACAACTCGTTAAGTCTAAAGAACTCATTTTTTTAGAAGCTTTTAAAAATAAATTTATATAAACTATATATATATATATATATACATGTATATATGGCAAGTGCATTAGATGCCAATATTTACGTTTTGATTCCATAATTAATTTTTATGTTTATACCACTCAGAAACTCTAAACAAGGATTTGTATTTCGTAACTTGATTCCATCTGCAATGCCAAAATTCGGGAGAATTTGGCTACTGTTTGAAATGCTGCAGTGTGTCCTGCCCTTCTTCTCGCTCATTTGTGACTTGATAATGATCCAGAAGGAAATGAAACGTATTCCACAGTTTATTTTCAAAAGTTTGGGTTATTTGTGGACTGTTCCAGCCACGATATTTTGACTTATTCTTTTCTGTGGTTGCAGGAAAGCCACATTCAGTTTGTGTGTGTGTATACATATATACATCCTGGAAATGTAAACTTTGTGGCTGCGGGAAAGCCTCATTCAGTTTGTGTGTGTATACATATATACATCCTAGAAATGTAAACTTTGTGGCTGCGGGAAAGCCTCATTCAGTTTGTGTGTGTGTATACATATATACATCGTGGAAATGTTGCGTACGTTGGTCAGGGTCAAGTTGTGTGGAGTGTGATGAGAGAAGAAACGCCAGCCTCCTCCACCCTGACTCGCCCAACGCTTCGCCCTGCCAGCATGGCCTGGAGCGGCGGACAATGTTGTGACAGCGAACTCAGTTCACGAAGTAGTCACAGCAGCAGACGCGGTCTCATCGCTCACTCCACGGACAGCTCGGAGACTTCCACACCCACGCACCGGGTCGTCACCTTCGCCACCAACACCTCCTCCGAGAGCTCGGAATCTCCCACTCCATCCCACAAGGTAGTGAGCTTCGTCCAGGCGCTGACGGAGTGTACTCCGACCTCCGGTAACGAGGCCAACGCCACCTTCGGCAAGAAGACGTCTCTAGCAGAGGCATTAGGGAACTATATCTTCCGTCGGCAGGGAGGATACAGAAGAAAGTTGTCAGGTAGACGAACTGAATCCTATTTCGTGTCTGTTTGGCGCTGTTGCCTTCCCTGCACCGTCGCCTCGGGCTACAGGTAAGCTGATGGATGTGTCTGTATATAATAATTTGTCTTTACCTATTGTCTAGCGGAAGTAGAGCTCTATGACACTTACGAGTTTAGCGCTTGATTATGATAATAATAATAATAACATTGTCTATCAATTTACTAAAATATCATCTGCTGTTACTCGGACGTTACGTTTTGCCTCATAATTCTAAGTCTTCTTTTCCGGCATTTGTCGTTCGCTCTACGTGCTGTCTAGTAGCTTTAACGCCTTCTAATTATGAAATTCTGTGTGTGTGTGTGTGTGTGTGTGTGTGTGTGTGTGTGTGTGTGTGTGTGTGTGTGTGCGCGCGCTCGTGCTCGCGCAGTTATCTAATAACTTAAATGAGTGTTAGGTTTCGAACCAACTTGGTAAGGCTGTATGTTACCTGCTCTTAAAGCTGTGGAATGTTTTACCCTCCACAGTGCCGTTATCCACTCTGTTCTACCTCACTACAACCCTAACACTTCGTCTTCTGACCCCCTTCCCTCCCTCCCTCTCTCTCTCTCTCTCTCTCTCTCTCTCTCTCTCTCTCTGAATCAGACAACTGTCCACTTTCAGCGTTCCCTCGCTCTCGGCAGTGATTTAGCGAACGGATGGATCAATCCTCCACGGGGTAAACAGCAAATACATTCCAAACCGCAATTTACAATCCTCGTTCTGGTTCTACGCATGACAAACAATCCTCCTTATCTCTTACCTGGAGTGCTTTGCACGTCACGTTCATCACAAGTGCGCAATATAACTTGCCGAGTCCATTATGTGTTTGATAAATATTTGTAAGTGTGATCAAGAGGCTGCGAGTGACACTGAATGGCGTAGCCTCGAGACTGACAGGCAGTAATGGATGAGGTGCGTTGGTATGTATGAGAGTGAGAGAGAGAGAGAGAGAGAGAGTGAGAGAGAGAGAGAGAGAGAGAGAGAGAGAGAGAGAGAGAGAAAGAGAGGAGTGCGCGTGGCTAGACAATGACGATCAACAGAGAGATGGATAATGACTGTTTTTATCTCGGCCAGCGAGATACACTTGGCATGATGCTACACCCGGGCGTCACCTTCACCTGGCTACCGAACACCCGCTGCCATCTTGGCCTGTCTACGCAGCTGACTGACAAATTAAATTGCAACTTAGAATAATGGGCACGATACAGATGTCTGTGATTTAATAAAGCCCATTGTCTGGGAGAAACGTTGTCAATAAAGGATCACATTATACTGCTTTCGTGTTTATTTTTCCATCGAGTCGGTATTTTGTACCATTTATCTTCACCGTCACTGGAACACACAAATCCTGACAACGTTTCGGTCCCAAGTAGGGCCGAAACGTCGTCAGGAGTGTCAGTCTCCTTATGTGACGGTTAGTTTTGTAAAATATAATATATTGAATATCGCAAAAGCACAGGCCGATGACCTCTTTTGTTTATTAAATAAATAATTTAGAACCCCCCAGTTTTTATGCTTTCTAATACGTGTGACACGATAAACCCGCCTGGGTCCATCAGCACTAAGAGTAGTGGAGACTCGATCCTCCGTGCGCCAAGCTCCTCTAGTCGACTTCTTCAGGAACCAAACTTGCAAACTAGTAAACTAAATCAACTAATTATAAACATTTATAAACATTCCCATTTGCGTATGTTTTCATTTGCGTATAAAAATATATTTTCATTTGCGTATGAAAATATACGTTTGGGTGTGTTTCTTTATTTTATTATTCTCCCTCAAATAGTTCTTGTCTTTATTTGTCAATCATTTCCATTTTCGAAATAGAGGTTAGGTCAGGTTCGTCAGGAAACTGGACAAGTGTCTCTCCTGACGCGGGTCTTGGATGATGACCCGCCTTTGGATTATTATTATAATCAAGGGGGAAGCGCTAAACCCGGAGGATTATACAGCGCCTGGGGGGGGGATGTGGAAGGCATTCAGGCTTAATTCGGGGAACTGGAGCACAGATCCAATTCCCTAAATCAAGAGCCCCTCACCAACATCAAGGAACCTTCCTTGAGGGGCTACCCGCCTTTGGAGCTTTTGGTCATCTGACCGAGACCTTACGCTGGCTTACCGATCCACCCCTTTAAAAAGTATGGTCATTTATAAGCATTTTGAATCGAAATAGATAATCCCGACATTTATTTTTCATGGGAAACTAAAGTTGAGGAAATGTTTTGACTGGCGAAGAGTGCCGTGGGAAGGAGAGTTTGTAGAGCAAGTCTCAAATTCGAACAACGTTTCCTCCCCTCAGTGTAAAGATCTACCAAGTCTTTGACTTGATAAAGCTCTACAGTGACGGGGGGAAACGTCGTTAGAGACACGTTTTACTCTCGGGGGGCAGCAGGCGACCCTCCTCGCCAGAGCCACAAGCGGCACTGAGCCGTGATGGCGTGCCACTAAGATGCCACTGACCTTACAACCCCCCTCCCTCCCAACACACAAACGTCTCCCCTATATACCCTTCCCCATTCTACCGCCCCCCCCCCTCCCCTGCAAGAGTGCCAGGTCCGCCAACATCACTATACAGTACAGGAATGCCAACATTATTTTTCAAAGCTAGGGGCACCAACATTACGTGATTATGATGGAGTACCAACATTATTTCTCAATGTAGTGGTGTTAATATTTCTAAGCGACACTTCTGACGTATTTACCAGAGCCAGGAATAACACAAGATATGTTAATAGTGACAGACTTGCATTAATATCTGGGCTAGGAAGTTTATATATATATATATATATATATATATATATATATATATATATATATATATATATATATATATATATATATATATATACCTGGAGGTTATTCCGGGGATCAACGCCCCCGCAGCCCGGTCCATGACCAGGCCTCCCGATGGATCAGGGCCTGATCAACTAGGCTGTTACTGCTGGCCGCACGCAGTCCAACGTACGAGCCACAGCCCGGCTGATCCGGCACTGACTTTAGGTATCTGTCCAGCTCTCTCTTGAAGGCAGCCAGGGGTTTATTGGCAATTCCCCTAATGCTTGATGGGAGGCTGTTGAACAGTTTTGGGCCCGGACACTTATGGTGTTTTCCCTTAGTGTACCAATGGCGCCCCTACTTTTTATTGGGGGCATTTTGCATCGCTTGCCCAGTCTTTTACTTTCGTAGGGAGTGATTTCTGTGTGCAGATTTGGGACCATTCCTTCCAAGATTTTCCAAGTGTATATTATATATATATATATATATATATATATTATATATATATATATATATATATATATATATATATATATATATATATATATATATATTTTTTTTTTTTTTTTTTTTTCAACAAGTTGGTCGTCTCCCACCGAGGCAGGGTGACCCAAAAAAGAAAGAAAATCCCCAAAAATAAAATACTTTCATCATTTAACACTTTCACCACACTCACACATTATCACTGCTTTTGCAGAGGTGCTCAGAATACAACAGTTTAGAAGCATATACGTATAAAGATACACAACATATCCCTCCAAACTGCCAATATCCCAAACCCCTCCTTTAAAGTGCAGGCATTGTACTTCCCATTTCCAGGACTCAAGTCTGACTATAAGAAAATAACCGGTTTCCCTGAATCCCTTCACTAAATATTACCCTGCTCACACTCCAACAGATCGTCAGGTCCCAAGTATCATTCGTCTCCATTCACTCCTATCTAACACGCTCATGCACGCTTGCTGGAAGTCCAAACCCCTCGCCACAAAACTCCTTTACCCCCTCTCTCCAACCCTTTCGAGGACGACCCTACCCCTCTTTCCTTCCCCTATAGATTTATATGTTTTCCATGTCATTCTACTTTGATCCATTCTCTCTAAATGACCAAACCACCTCAACAACCCCTCTTCTGCCCTCTGACTAATGCTTTTATTAACTCCACACCTTCTCCTAATTTCCACACTCCGAATTTTCTGCATAATATTTACACCACACATTGCCCTTAGACAGGACATCTCCACTGCCTCCAATCGTCTCCTCGCTGCTGCATTTACCACCCAAGCTTCACATCCATATAAGAGTGTTGGTACTACTATACTTTCATACATTCCCTTCTTTGCCTCCATAGATAACGTTTTTTGACTCCACATATACCTCAACGCACCACTCACCTTTTTTCCCTCATCAATTCTATGATTAACCTCATCCTTCATAAATCCATCCGCCGACACGTCAACTCCCAAGTATCTGAAAACATTCACTTCTTCCATACTCCTCCTCCCCAATTTGATATCCAATTTTTCTTTATCTAAATCATTTGATACCCTCATCACCTCACTCTTTTCTATGTTCACTTTCAACTTTCTACCTTTACACACATTCTCAAACTCACCCACTAACCTCTGCAATTTTTCTTTAGAATCTCCCATAAGCACAGTATCATCAGCAAAAAGTAACTGTGTCAATTCCCATTTTGAATTTGATTCCCCATAATTTAATCCCACCCCTCTCCCGAACACCCTAGCATTTACTTCTTTTATAACCCCATCTATAAATATATTAAACAACCATGGTGACATTACACATCCCTGTCTAAGACCTACTTTTACCGGGAAGTATTCTCCCTCTCTTCTACACACCCTAACCTGAGCCTCACTATCCTCATAAAAACTCTTTACAGCATTTAGTAACTTACCACCTATTCCCTATACTTGCAACATCTGCCACATTGCTCCTCTATCCACTCTATCATATGCCTTTTCTAAATCCATAAATGCAATAAAAACTTCCCTACCTTTATCTAAATACTGTTCACATATATGCTTCAATGTAAACACTTGATCTACACATCCTCTACCCACTCTGAAACCTCCTTGCTCATCCGCAATTCTACATTCTGTCTTACCTCTAATTCTTTCAATTATAACCCTACCGTATACTTTTCCTGGTATACTCAGTAAACTTATTCCTCTATAATTTTTACAATCTCTTTTGTCCCCTTTCCCTTTATATAAAGGGACTATACATGCTCTCCGCCAATCCCTAGGTACCTTCCCCT